CTTGTCTAAATTGTATTGTGGTTGTATACTTCAATGAGTTCTGTATCTAGAGGGATTTACTTCATGACAATCAATTGTATGCATACAATTCCCAAGCTTTGTACAAAACATTCTAGTCTCTTGTTCCTCTGTATTGATAACTGTTATTTTCCTAGTATTAGGGATAGGTCATTTAAAATCATGGGGGGGGGGGTATTAAAAATATATATATATATATAAATTAATCAAGCTCATGCAAAACAATTAACTGCACTGGTATGTGCATGTAAAACAAATATAATTTGAATACGACAGTAACAAAAATATGCAGGTAGAGTGTTATTACCCCCCTACTTTTGAGATGAACCATCCCTTTAATACATTCCGTCCATCTGTGTTTTACCTAATTGTGTGAAAGTGATGTAGTGAAATTTGAGGTTAATATGTTAATGGTCTCAGGTGCGTGAAATAGTTCCAGGAAGTAGTTATTACCCACACATTGCAGACAGGTTTAATTACTTTCATTTTTCACTAGTTTTAATTACTCAATTATCATAGATCCAATCAAGTTGGTAAACTATAAATTTACTGTCATAACTGTATCTTTTTCAATCAATGTTATTTTTGCTAATTTATATGCTCTAATTTTTTGCTAATTCCATTCAGCCAATAGATTCCATTAATCCTATTTGTTGTCATTTCAAGTTAAACCCAAAGTAATCCCGTGCCTTATGTAAATTTGAGTGTAGCATATTAAAACATTTCATATACAGTAATCGAGTATTTTTCTTTTTAAGGTGACTGTCTACAGCTGAAATATTTCCAGTTTTTTTTTCAAATTTATATCAGTTATTACTATTTGGTGCATAATGGCAATTGGTTTTATCACCAGAAAGAAAACTACAGGTAGGTGTTTCAATTTAAAGAAAAAACAAAAACATACATTCGTCATTGCTGGCCTTGAAATAAAACCGTCTGGGCATAAATTACATTATCAATTGAGAGCATTGTAACAAGAAAGTCTGTGTGACGCCTATTTTTCTATGAAATGCTAACATTCACAAAACTCACATAAAAATACATGATCACGGAACTACTTTTTGTGAAAAAAATGGCGATGTTTCAGCCATTTTATATAGGTTCCAATGGGGAAATAATCTCATTTTATATGGAAATATTGTTTGGTAACATATTGTGAAAAAATAGTATGTTGTTAGAAGATGAGTAATTTAGCTTGTCATGAATTATTAGGAGATTCTGGTGAATACAATTTATTTTGCATGAATTAATCTTTTTACATGGGTTTCTATGGAAATTGCCCAAAAAATGCAAACTTTTGGCATTTTGTCACACAATATATGTAAATCTGTAATTAGCATTTTTGATACAAAATATTGGGATAAAATTCTCCTCTATTTAATACTGTAAAGGGGGTAATTATTCACTGGGTTTTACATGTAATTTAGCTTATTTCGCTGACTGGAAAATGCGCTAAATTAAAACCCAGTGAATATGTAAAATTTAGCATAGAACAAATTATCTAAATGATGAAACCGTGAATTTAAAACCCACTGAATATGCCTGAAATGGTAAATCAGTGAAATTCCAGTGAAAATTAGTCATTTTACAGTAGGTTACAATACTTACAAACGATCTTCAAACTGTTTATAAACATTTTTTTCTTTAGCTGTTAAATTCAAAATTAGGCATCTTTTCACAAATCTGTTGTCATTATTGTACTTTAATTAATTTTCGCTTAAAGGGATTTTTTTGGGTGTTTTGTATGAAACTAATTTACACCGATTTTTGTTGAGTTGAATGTAAAATATAGGAAAAAAAGTAAATTTACTGAATCACCCCTTCAGCAAAAATAGCAAAAATAAATTTCAAGAAATAAAGTATTTTACAGTAGTTTATTTTGCAATTTTTGTTCTGATTGACTTGTAGTCAATCCACGTGTTACACAAGTGGTACAAGAAAGAATAAATTGTCAATGATCATGGAGTGTTGTTTTCATTTCACTTACATATCTGTCTGTTGTAGTACATAATAAGACAAGATCTCAATATAAGATATTGGATATTAACGCTGCACGTATATGACGCACAGGGAGTCAACCCTGTGATATTAGTAACCTTTGAATAATTTATACACAATGTATACAATGTGTCAAAGTTGTCTAGTACAGGTTTTACAATTTGTTTTACAAATATTGGGATACAAAGCAATATTATATTTGAATAATTAATAATGAATTTATCCAGCCTTCGTGCAGGTATATGTATATTTGATAGAAATGAACAATATATACCGTATATCCTTTTTTTGGGGAAATGACAGAGATTCATATATCATGTATTATCAACATCAATTGCATGACGTGTTGTACCTTCTTATTAACCATCTATATATGCTGTATGTTTGAAAGGTCAGTGTTAACAAATTGACACTATATACTGTATTGTAGTAGAAAGGTGGTAGAAAGTAATTAAGAAGTGTGAACTGATATATAGTTGAATTTGATTAAACTGAAAATAAAATATTTTAGAGTTAACGCGGAATGCTATAAAAGTAAAATGGTCATTTTAATTATTTTTACATATTTTATAATTCATGTTTCAAGGATAAAGAAAATGAATTAAAAATATGGGGTCACTGTACTCAGATCAGAGAAAATCAATCAATAAATTTGGTGAAAATAGTATGTTTTGTCTGTTTAAGGGCGTTTTACCATTGTTTCCTATTGCAAGGATATATCTCAAAATTATATTTGGTGACATATGGTAAAAAGAATTATTTATATATATATATATATATATATATATATATATATATATATATATATATATATATATATATATATATATATATATATATATATATATATATATATATTTTTATCAAGGAAATGTGTTTTCACAGTGGTCTATGGGAACCTCTGCTATAGCATTTTATGCATATTATTTTAAAAATAGATTGTCAGTGAACCAAACAAGTTTACATATGTTGACTAATAATAAAATAATTGTATGGATTTTGACAGGATTTTTCCAATATTTGTGTCTTGACAATTAATAGTACTGTGTAATTGAGATTAATTTATATATGGTATATATCCATGATTAATCTAAATATGGTATATCCAGTACTAATCCCACTATGGTGTATCCAGAATTAATTTTAATATGGTATATCTAGGATTAATCTAAATATTGTGTATCCAGGATTATTCCAAAGATAGTATATCCAGGATTAACCCAATATGATTTATACAGGTATAATTTTAATATAGTGTATCCGGGATTAATCTAAATATTGTGTATCCAGGATTATTCCAAAGATAGTATATCCACGACTAACCCAATATGATTTATACAGGTATAATTTTAATATAGTGTATCCGGGATTAATCTAAATATGGTGTATATTGGATTATTTGAAAGATGGAATACCCAGGACAAATCTCAATATGGTTTATCAAGGATTAATTTGTATCCAGGATTACACTCACAATGATGTATCCAGGA